AGACCTAGGGAAAATCTTGACATTCTTTACTCTATTATATAAGTCCGTTGTAATCAAGAAGAAGTCAATCCTTGAGAAGGATTGGTGTCTATCTGAAAAGAAGGTAAAGTCTTTCTCCTCTTGATTACATTCCCGCCAATAGTCCCGTAATTCCCAGTCCTCTTTCATATCAAAAAAGGCTTTAGGTAATTTTGCCTGCTTAAGAAGAGGAGAAGAACCTTTTTTGTCCCTTTGTACATCTAAAACACCATTCCAATCCCCCATTAATACCACGGATCTGTAGTCCAGCAGATTTATTTTTTCATGTAAGAGTCTCTAAAATTGTTCCTGTTGCTGATTTGGTGCATATAGTCCCACTATAAGTACTTTCTTACCATATAAGCCCAATTCAACCATCACATATCTCCCTTGGGGGTCAGACTCCACCAGACAAACTGGTAGATTTTGCTTAACATAGATAACAACTCCCCCCTTCTTCCCGGGAGCAGAAGATACGAAGTGAGATCCCAGACGGGCATTAACTAAATATTTCTGATCCTTAAGTAAAATATGAGTTTCCTGTAAGCAAATAACATCATTATTACGTTGCTTCAAATAATAAAAGATTTTTTTTCCTTTTCTGAGGAGAATTCAATCCATTAACATTCCAGGTCAAAAACTTTGCCATCTCCCTTGGCCCGCAGCCTGGAGAAGACACCTTGGAGATCTGAAATTGCAACATGTGTTGCATGACTCTTTGGTCTTGCTCCTCCCACCGGCGGTGATACATTTCCAGGAGAAATCTCTTTGGCCTCTTTCTTACGTTGCTCCTTCTCTTTACGTTTATAAGCTGCACGAGTCATTCTCTGCTCTTTAACCTCTGTCTGGCGTTGCCCTTCAGCTTGCAGCATCCCAGCAGAAACCAAACCTGATGCCTCAGACTGCTGCTCCGCCTCTTTGCCACTCAGGGATTTCTGAACAGGTAAAGTTGAGCCTGCACCTAGGACTGAAGTATAGAACTCTCTAGCTTTATCAACCGTATTCAATCTATAACGTGTCCCCGCATGGCTCAAAACAATACCCATCGGGATTTCCCATCTAAATGGCATCGATCTAGCTTTAAGCTCATTAGCTAAGAAAGCAAAATCTTTCCTGATTCTTAAAATTTTTCTTCTTGATTACGTTCACGCCAATAGTCTCTCAATTCCCAATCTTCTTTCATATCAAAAAAGGCTTTAGGTAATTTAGCCTGTTTAAAAAAGGTAGAAGAGCCTTTTTTGTCCATTTGTATATCTAAGACACCAGTCCAGTCTCCCATTAAAATCACAGATCTATAGTCCAACAAAGTTATTTTCTGATGTAGTAACCTATAAAATTGCTCCTGTTGCTGGTTTGGTGCATACCACCCCACAATAAGAATTTTCTTGCCATATAAACCAAGTTCAAGCATAACATATCTTCCATAAGGATCTGATTCTAACAAGGTAGCAGATAAATTCTGTTTAACATAGATTACAACACCCCCTTTCTTCCCAGGGGCGGGAGATACAAAATGAGATCCCAAGCGAGGATTATTTAAATATTTTTGATCTTTAGCTGTAATATGAGTTTCTTGCAAGCAAATAATATCATTGTTATGTTGTTTCAAATAGTGGTAAATTTTTTTTCTCTTTTGAGGAATGTTTAATCCATTAACATTCCAGGACAGGAGCTATTAATCACCATTTCCATCAAATCTTGAGTTTTATCTTCTTTCAGACCCCTTATTCTCAAAGCATATTCCATCTGTCTATACTGGAACATAAGAATATCATCTTGTGAAGTCTCCACTTTTTTCTCCATATCTTGAAATTTATAATCCAAAAGTTCAACTGTTTCTTCAATTTCCTCTACTCTGGAGTCCAGCTTCACAACCACTGAGGCCATTCCAGATAGAGCTAGAAGTATATCATCCCTCAAATAGCATTATTCTGTTCTAAAAGCTCCTTCATCTCTTTCTTCATTTCCTCCTTAGTTTCAGATTTATTCTGGTCCAAAAGTTGTTTCATTTCCTCCCTAAACCGTGAGACGGCACTTACCATTATTTCTTTAATGTCTTGTGCTGATGTGCCAGATGGGGGAGGTGAAGGTGGAGTGGATTTAGGTTGCTGCACTGAGGGTATTATTTTAAGTTGTTGTTGCACAGTAGAAGTAGCAGGAGAAGAATTTACTTTAGAAGCTGCAGTAGCTGGTTGTCGTTTTGAAGCCATTTTAATTTATCTTCCTTTCTTCTTAAAAATACCGATAAAAATAAGTAATCCAAAAAAAAATTAAAAATAAGATAAAATAGAATAAAATAAGATCAATCTAAAAGTCCCCAAGAATAAAAAAGTAAAAAAGTAAAAAAAAAGCAGTATTAAACAACAATTCAGCCGATCCGTCTTTTAAAGGAAAAAACTTTCAAAACGCCATTTTACTTTCACTCTCACTTTTCCGCCCGAAAAAAAAAGAGAAAGCTCAAAAAAATAAAAAAAAAATCAACACATACTAAATAAACTAAATAAACTAAAAAAAAATAAAATAAAGCTAAACTATAAATAAAATCCTTTAAACAGTTCTGTCCGGTTTAAGATTACTCACGTTTTCTTTAAGTACGGAGATGGTAGCGGCGTCTCGCTTTGTTTCCGAAGAAACAAAGACAGCTGAGAGGCGGAGAAGGCAATGAACTCCGAGGGAACCCTCTTTCTACCCCCCTAAAAATAAAAATCCAGGGAGAGTTAAGAGGTTCTACCTATATTCATGCGATCTCTACCCCTTCCCTTCGCCCGGGAAGGGGATTGCGAGCCGCGGGCCAGCTGGTAAACGCTGTGCTCCGCGGATCTGACACCTTCTCAGGAGGACGGCTACAAAGTAGCCGCCATCTCCACCGCTTTAACCACCGGAAGTCTACTCCATTTCCTCAAAGGGATTCTTGCCCACAATAATAGATATAATGGCCACATTCACCCATTCCCATCCACTTTGTTTACTGATTCCCAAGATGTTGATGTTCAGTTTTGCCATCTCGTGTTTGGCCAGATCCAGCTTACCTTGATTCATAGATCTTACACTCCAAATTCTTATGCAATATTGTTCTTTACATTATCGGACTTTCCTTTCACAACTAGACACATCCACAGTTGAGCATCCTTTCAGCTTTGGCCCAGCCGCTTCATCCTTTCTGGAGCTATTTGTAAATGCCCTGCAGTCTTCCCCAGTAGCACATTGGACACTCTCTGACTGAGAGCTCATCATCTTAAGGTAGAATAATATAGAATAATGTGGAATAATAATAATAATAATGAAAAATCATTAAAATAATGTGTCTGCATAATTACTGGACTAAAGCTCTGTTAACAATATGTGACTAACCAAATGCGCATTACATTCAAATACAATGTATGTAGCAGATTCTCCATTGTGTGCCCGTGAGAAATGAATCTAATGTATTACAATGTAGATTTCTATGTGTGTTCCTTTGTTCCTGAGAAAGGGAAAGTATAAAACTGTAGTTTGAACCCACCCCCAGGGTTCAGAATTGCTTGTCTTTACTGCTTCTGAACCTTGCACAATAAATCTCTCTGCTACACCCTCTGGAATTAGTAAAGTCTCTTTCATTTTCTACAACAATCTGGCATCATATCTTTTGATACTGTCCTTAAGGTTTTCTTGGCAAGGATCCTGGAATGGGTTACCATGTCCTTGTCCGTTGTCTCATGTTTTGTCAGAACTCTCCATTATGATTTTTCTGTCTTGGGTGGCCCTGCACCATGAAGATCATGGCTTCATTGAGCTGCACAAGCCCTTTTGCTGCAACAAGGCAGTAATCCATGAAGGCGATACTTTTTTACTTCTTATTCCTTTACTGTTAAACGTTAATCCTAAAAGGCAGAAACTATCCATTATTTCAATATATTCTTTGTTAACTGTAAGGTTGATTGCTGCAGCTGTTGTTACTTTGGTATTCTGTGTATTTTAGTCCCACATTGTCTTCACCAACTACAGACATTGAAAACTTATCTTCTTCAAATGTCTTTTCTGGTTGCCTGCGTGCCAACTGCCATAAGGATTGGCACCAAATACCCTTGATTCTTTGGCATTAGGCTTGGAAATCTGAAGAACTGCAAAATAACATTGTAATAAAATGACATTTTATACATCAGTATTTGATTAGATTGTACTCCAGTGTATTAAATGTACTTAATATATTTAGGTACTGCCTTTCTAAGTAATTTGTTTTTAAAAGTCATGAATAGTACTGGTAGTCCTTAAGACCATAACTGAGCCCAAAATTTCTGTTGCTAAGCAAGATATTTAAGTGAATTTTGCTTCATTTTATGACCTTTCTTGACACATTTGTATCAAAAACTACATCACGAATAGAGTCGTGAAAGCTCATGCTGTTTTAAAATTTCCACACTGTACAGTACTCATTTACTTGAGAGTAAATACGGTTGAATTCAGACGGGCCTATTTCGAAATGGGAGTGCACAGGATTGCCTAATAAGCCTGTTAGCTTTCAATGGTACTGCCTAAATTCTCTATTTGTCTATGAAGAAAGTAAGCCTTCTCTTCCTTCCCACTTTTCCTAGCGTTTCCGAAGAAGGCAGACTCCAAACACGCCCAGAACTACCGTTTAAAAAAAAAAACCAAAAAAAACCCCCGCTTCTTTGAAATTGCCGAGAATCCTTGGAGATTTTATATAAGGGCGGAAGTAGGAACGTTTCGAACCGAGAAAGCTCTCTGACGCTGGCGGAAGTACGTAAAACTCCGGGCGGATGTAAAAATGCTCAGAGGGCTTTCGTTTCTTGTGCCTTCTCGGTTGCTAGGAGGGGGCCTGGCTTCAGCTTTTCAGTACTGAACAGGTGAGGAACAGGAAGGATGAAGGCTGCGTGGCCTTTTTTTTCTTCTTTCTGCCTGGCAGAGACTTAGGCGTAGCCTCCTGGCGGGAGGGGTTGCTTACAGTATTTGTTTCCCACGGGGGATGTCAGGGCCAATACGGGGGAGAGAATTGCTGGGGTAGAAGCCTCAGGATTATTATTTTTAAAAAAGAAAGGGTGTAAAGGAATCCTGGGAATTGTAGTCCCCACAACGCTGGAGGACATCACCAGAGGGAAAACTAGGTATATCTGGGGGAAGATCTGAATGCTGTGAGAAAGGGGCGACCTCGTTTTATTTGTGTTTAAGCTTCCACCTTTTATTTTACAATGCCTTTAAGAGGCACAGAATGCTAGTCTCTTAACGGGAGGGTCCTGTCGGTGATCTATTGAAGTACGATATCAGCAGAGTGCAAGTCTTGAATTTCTTTATGAAAGTAAGAATAGGGAAACTTGGAATTTTGTTTTGGAGGTTTTACCTTGGGGTGAGGGCTTGTTTGTGCCATGGTTATCACCAAACCCATTTAACTGATTAACTGGGTTTTTCTTGTACTGGTTTTCATTGCCAGTTGCCTAAGAACCATGGAATGGACTTCCAAACAATGCTTTTGCCTGTTATTGCCTGCCATTTCTATTTTCTAAGACGTGAGCCCAAAGGCATTTTTATAAATAAATATGTTGGAAGAGTGTGTTTCTTGAAGGTGGTAGCCCACTTCTCTTGTTTATATTCAGAATATATGTGTTTTAAAAAGTTGGAGTATGACAAGCGGGTGTGTTTCCTGATTCCTTAAATTCGAGGTAGCTGAAAATAGGAATGTTGTGATATAGTGACACAATGGCTAGAGAGACCAACATTCAAGGTCACTCTTATCCATGGCATCTTACAGAGTGGCTTTGGGCCACACACTCTCTCTCGGCCCAACCTCCTTCACAAGGCAGTTGTTTGGATAAAATGAAGGGGGATTTCTGTGGAAGTTGTCTTCAGCTTTTGGAAGAAAAGATGTTAATCTAATAAATCATGATTTAAAAAAAACCTATACCTGGCATAGATTTAATGCCATTTAGCTCACAAGAGCTTGCTTCTGTTGCAGGAATGCATTATAAAGAAAACAGATGTTCCTTTTTAAGATTTAATGTTCTTCTGTCTTATTTTTTAGTGCATCCAGATGTGTTGGATTGCAGTTTTCATATTCTACAGCCATCTTCTTCCCATGCTGGCTTATTTTATCAGTTTGTCTAATCAGAATTGGAACTGTTTTCAACTGCTATTTATTCTTTTAACATTTAATTTCAGTTCATAGTGTAGATCTTTTGTGTTAGTTAGCCTCTGCAATATTTTCTCTGAAATCCTATATGTACTGAAGTCACCATCATGCATTCAGGGAAAAGAACTCAAACCTAGAGAAGCTTATGAAGGCATAATGCTAGTGTTTAAGACAATGTTTCTCAACACTTTTAAAGTGGAATTCCTAGGTAAATGTATTTAACCTCTTGCACTCCATTGATACTTATCATTTAATCCTAACCTTTTTTTCTTGACAAATGTAGAAGAGCATTAGCTCTTAGATTACAAGACAACTATAGAAAAGCATTGAAGCAAATATGAAGCAACCATTAGTAAGACATGAACTTATTCCAGTAAGAACAGTAAAGTTTGAAAAAGTAATTCAAGGTAGCCCTGCCCTGACTCTATGTAGTTTAAGAGGGAGAGAAAAACTGAAACTGAATTATCAAATCAATATATCCTGGCCTCATTGCCTGGGGAAAAAGACAGTCTTCACCTCCTTCCTAAAGGCTAAAAGAGTCAGGATCAGCCATATCTTTTGAGGGAGATTGTTTCATAAGGAAGGCACCATAGCAGAAAAGGCACCCCTCTTAGGCTTACCAGATGACACTGCTTCACCATAGGGACCTGGAGCAATACCAATTTGCCAACCGCCATGGATTGGTACTCCTACAAATACAGGTAGTCCTTGATTTAGGTCCATAACTGAACCTCAAATTTCTGTTGCCAAGTGAATTTTGCCCCATTTTACAACCTTTCTTGCCACGGTTAAGTGAATCACTATAGTTATTAAGTTAATAACAAGAGTAAGTGAATCTGGCTTCCCCATTGACTTTGCTTGTCAGAAAGTCACAAAAGTGATCACATGATTCTGGATCACTGCAACCATCATAAATATGAATAAGTTGCCAACTGCCAAGCATCTGAATTTTGATCACATGACCATGGGGATGCTGCAATAATCATAAATGTGTAAACAGGCATAAGTCACTTTTTTCAGTGTCGTAATTTTGAACAGTCACTAAATGAACTATGGTAAGTCTACCTCTAATCAGCTGATGCCCCCAACTGTCTTGTAAATTACTTGCTTGAGAATTGAGTCTTCTTTCTTTCTAAATGCTAATCTGTTTTCTCAATAACACCCTCCCAAGTTAGAATGGCACTCTAATCAAGGCCCTTTGCAGTGACTAGGAGGAATTAGAAATGGCTATCATGTGACCGTGCCACAGTTGTGGCACACAAACTGTTTTAAATGTAAGTGGTAGTGGATAAGACTTTGCAAGTGAGCGTTCATGTGGAGACAGCGAGGAAAAGCTTTTGAAGAGACGAGTCTTGCAGAAGACAAGGTTGCATTATTAAAAATTTGATGAGACATGCTTTGTTTGCAAATTGCAAAGCGTTCAAAGTATGCAAAATATTTATTTTGAACACTTTGTATATCCCTAGTGGCTGACTCCTTCATCTTATACAGACACAGTCAACGAATCTTTGCCTGAAATGGGAACTGAAGCTTGATTATTTGCATTTTTGTTTTCCAGTACTGGACGCCAAATGCTATTCTCATTTTTTAATGTTTAATTACAATTTAGTTCTCAAAATGCTTCGGTGTATTACATGGCTGTGATAATTCTTTCAACAACAATAAATAATATAGTCTTGGGATATTGTACATAGAGAGTAGCTGGCTGAAGGCCAGCCAGTAAGCCTGGATTTGAATATGCTTTGGTGGATCTGGCCAGAGGCCTTTGATTTACTCTTATGTTCTTCTCCCACTGTTTCCTTAATTCTGCTTAGCTTTCAAAAAAGGTGTAAAGTTGATGTGTTTATATTTGACTTTTATTCTGTTACAAAGTTCCTAGCAACATGTGTGGCTTTCTAGGAGAATTCTTATTGAGTCATCTTGTCAGAACCAGAATTGGCTTCAACAAGTTTACTTAGCCCTCAAACTATGCTGTGCACCAATTAATATCTCTTCAAGTAAGATCCTCTTCCTGGATCTTATCTCAAATGCTTTGCTTTTATAGATAGTCCTCAAGTTACAATCAGTTACTTAGCAACCATTCAACGTTATGGCAGACTCTGAAAAAGCTACTTCCGACCCAGATTTGAAGTTATAACCATGTCCTCCCCATCATGTGATCGTATTTTGGGCACTCAGCAATCAGTGCTATTTGCACGTTTATGGCCATTTGCAACATCCTATGGTCACATGACTGCAATTTGTGACATTTTTGATGGACTTAGTTTCTGCAAAAAAACACACCATAGCGAACAATGGACTTGCTTTATGACTGCCACAAAAAGGTCATAAAATTGGGCTTAGTCATGTGTTGACCCACTTAACAACTGTCATAGCTTACGATCAAAATTGTGGGATCACTTAAGTCAAGAACTACCTGTAATCAGTGTGAAATTATAGCCCAAGATTTCTTTTCCAGAGGGAATTGGCAATCTTTTGTTTTAAATTCTGCTTCCCTTTCTTTCCTTGCTAATTTTCCTAAAGCATAAACAGATATTGTGATGAATGGCTTTGTTGTGATAGAAGTTCTCAGCGGTTCGAAATTAACACACGAAAAAAAGTCTGCAAACCCTAAATAAGATTTGCAGCGATGTTAAAATTTAGTACAGTGCTCAGAAGGAGATTGCTGGAAGGAAGAGGTTCTGTGGAAAGTATTATTAGAAAGTCCACATCAGCAAAGTGGACTCAGTTAATGTTTTAGTGCTGACCCAAACATCTGTGTTGATGAGATTTTTATAATATATGGGGAAAGCAGAGCTGCTGAACAATGCCCCAAAGAGGGCAGTTTAATATTACAGTATAAAAAGTCCTTGAGATGAGTGGATGCTCTTAGTGGTAAATATTTTTAAAAAGGAACCATCAGATCTGTTTACCTCCTCCATTATGCCTTCTAAAAAAGACCCATTTCCATTTGCATGAGTAACTTTATATTATAAACTATATTCTTGAAACATGGGGAGATTTACACAGTGACCTTGTAGTTGCAGGATCCAATCTGGGTCGGTCACTGGGACCAGAGGTTTTCTCTTCTGAACTTCTGGATTCTTGCTGGAGCCCATCTTCAGGGAATTTCTCTCTAGCCTGGGAAGATGAAGATGGGCTCCAACACAAGTCCAGAAGCTTGGAAGGCTAAATCTCTAAGATCCCGATGACCGACCCAGATTGGATCCTGCAACATTATCCTGGGCCACGTATATTCATCTTCATTCGTGACCTTGTAGTCTCTAGTCCAGGGGTAGGCAACCTTGGCTTTTTTATGATACGTGGACTTCAACTCCCAGAATTCCTGAGCCAGCCATGCTGCTCCCATTCTGGGAGTTGAAGTCCACGTGTCATAAAAGAGCCAAGGTTGCCTACCCCTGCTCTAGTCTATACCAAAATAACCGCTTCTGCTATGTTCTGTTACTGTATTTTAAGGGTGGGCTCAGACGACCCACTGCAACCAACTGTAGCCTATCTGTGAAGTTATCCAACATTTCCCCCTCACTCCAAGTAGCACAGATATACATTATGATTTATATCTGTGCTACTTTTGTTTTTATTTGTAAAAACAAAAATACAAATATTTTGTTTTTCTGGGTTCAGAAAAACAAAATGTTTGTTTTTCTGAACCCAGCACAATGGGAGGCTTCTGAGAAAGAAAATGAAACTTGGAAAGAGCTGTCGGTGATTTGGACCCAAGGTCCAAGTGCTATGACCATATCATCATTCTTTTGAAAGCCAGTCTGTATCTAGCCATAATGAGGAAGTCTGTGCTTAGGGAGAAGTATGATTTTTTAAAAAATTTGGAATTTGCCCTCAGAACGTCTCCAAAGTTTGCAAATGAGCATACTTAGTGTCCCCAAAAAACTAATTGGAACTATGAGCATATTTTAGCGTTCCCCAGAAAACAATGAACATATTTAGCGTACTCAGAAGATTAACGTAAACCCTGACCATATA